ATTAATTTTCTCTCAACACTGATCAGCCAAATTCCAGTATCTGTTGCAGGTGGTAATTTGATGATTATGAGGGTTTATTGTTAGTACGCTCACCAATATGAACCCTAAAAATACGGAAAAATATGCAGATTGGAGATCTCAAATCAAGGAACAGGATGCATATTTTTTCATATTTTTTGCTCTGTTTCTGACCTTTCCAGATTTTTGTATACAAATAATTTAATTTTCTGCCCAGAAAATGTTATGTTTCTTGTAGTGTGTGGACTCTTCTGTGATCATATCATCCATTTCAAACATCCTGGGAGATTTCCAGCAATCTTGATGAGCTTGATGATCACTAGACAGAGCTGATGGGATCATGATCAGGGTTTTGACGCAGTCTGCATATTCGGAAGGACCATATAAGATGATCATAAGCTTTGATGAGGGTGGTGTTAAGGTCAGAGATGATACAATAAAAGTAGATCATCCTCAGTAGTCAAGTTCTCGTAGACTGGTTCTTGTAGACTGGTTCTCTTAGACTAGTTCTCGAGAGGTGATGTGGAGGCATTTGGACCGTAAACCGACAAGGAACAATGGTACCAATTCTGGTTTGAGTTCAAAGATGGTTTTGATGATTCCAAAAGGCAGATTGGCTAGATTTGGTGTCCGTTTGGAGATCCAGTTAATGGAATGTTAGTAGGAATTGTGATTGCTAAGATTTAATGAGGTGAGAAGGATGCAAGTTACAGTCAAATTGAAGCAAGAGTAATCCTGTTTTGTGTGAAATCAAAAATGATCAGGTTGAGTTGACAAATAGCTCAAAGTAAATGATACAATGCTTGATCAGAAAGACAATCAATGATGACATCAGATAGGATACAATAGGTAATTGACACATGTTATGGAATTGACTATAGGAACAATGGCACTGGTTTGAGCTCACGTACACTTTGATGCAGAACCCAGATGAAGGGCAGAGCGATTTTGAGGGATCAAATCAATGCCTTGTCAATCTATTGTGGAATTATTGTCTTGAGTCAGTTTTTGGCATAGAAAGAATCATAAACTATGAGATCCAGTCACCTTACCAGCTTTCCTGTTCCCATCTAGTATGTTGAGAAACGTACTAGAGATGAAATTGTACAACCAATGAGAAGGAGGGGACAAGGTAACCATAAAGCTGATACCTTTTCCAGGCACCAGAAGGTCAAAATGCGCATCATAGAGCATTCATGGTTGAAAGGCAAGCAAGGTTGTTTCAGAAGGGGGCCTGCCTCAGAATGATCTAGAGCAGGTCCCACCCTCGAATGTTGGAGTTCGAAGTCGAAGATGTTGAAATAGTTGAGCTGTATTGTTGGAGGAAAGCCAATGAAGGTTGTTTCTGGAAGGGGGCCTGCCTCAGAATGATCTAGAGCAGGTCCCACCCTCAAATGTTGGAGTTCAAAGTAAAAGATGGGTTTTTGAATTCAATCCCAAAGTGAAAAGTTTGGATCATCAACCACTGGCTGGCCCATCATCACAAACTCTTATGTACATAACATATGTCATACTCCGGATAACCTTTAGTCTTTCAAGTCATCCGTACATATGCACGTATGTAATATCTCTTTTGAACAAGTTGTAAACACATGGTGAAGACACAGACATGTTAAGAACCAAACTTTAAAGTTGACTGATTGAAATATAAGGTAGTTTATATTATCAATGCTGAGTAATAGCTAGTGACTCTCCAAAGTACCCGTTATGCATTTTCTAAATTGATTATTGCTTTGAATCAAATTATCTTAAAATTGTAGATGAATTCGAAAGAGGGAATCATGGTCTATTACAGTTATCAATTTATGTTGAATTCCAATGATGTTGGTCACATCAGATTTCCAAATGGCATCCTTTGATGCGATCAACACAGAGCCACAACTTCATGATATTAGATGTGTTTTTCAAAAGAGTCATAAAATTCATGGTCTTAGACACTGCAAAGATAATGTATTTCTCTGAGGTGAAAAATTATTACCTTTAATGTACAAAATGATCAAAAGTGCATTAAGTCTGCATTAAGTTGGCATTGTTCTCCACTAATTCTGCATTATTAATCATTTTGTGCATTAAATTTAATTATTTTTCACCTTGGAGAAATACATCGTCTTTGCAGTGAGAGTATGTAGAGAGTTTTTCTAGCAAATCTATAATCATGTGTCAACCTGCCCAGTGGACTATGGCTCAGCCTCTAGTTCCAGAGAAGGGTATGGCTTTAATAAATTTTGACTGTATATTGCATAGTTCACATTGGTCATGTTTTAAATGAGATGTTACAATCATGGGGTGTGGCAATGCCATGTGGTAAGGAACTATCTTGGGCAACATTATCACTTAAAAGGATGTTTCAATTCTTTTGGACAAATCATTCACATGACAATATGTGTGAAGAAAATGCTTGAATAATCTATCCACATTAGTAATTTGTGAGAAATGTACAAAAAGGATCTCAAGCATTATCTAGTGTTCATCAGACATGAATTTCAGGATCAAAAATTATCTAGTGCTCATCAGACATCAATTTCAGGAATCAGTTGAACATATATACAACTGTCTCAATCATGCATTGTTATCCCTTGTGAGCCCTTGTGAATCAACCACAGTGGTTTTTTGATTTGAAATGCAGTCCTTTTGCCATTTCAGTTAGTTGAATTCAAGTTTGAGTTTGAGTTCCATATTTAAGATTCTCCAATGCTCCAATCCCCGGTGGAAACTCTCACTATATGAATATTCAAAAATGTTTGTCACTCAAAAGCAAACAAAACGTAGTTGTAGGACTTTGTGAAATTTCAAGGATTTCCAGCTAAAGTAATATAAATGCTTGTTTGGTGGAAGCCTCCTAGGGTGTTGAGCTGTCTAACAGGGTCAATCATGTGGAATGAGTCATCCAGAACCTCAGGGGCACCTTTGGTGAGAGAGGTACCTACTAATATTGTGGTGTGGGTCCCAAACCAAAATCCCAGCCTCAGACTTGCACGTGGTGACCACAAGTCAAACCACAATTTTCAGGTGGTGCAAGACAACACAAAATCCTTGGATATCTGCAATTCTTCTAACTATTGATACTGTTATCCGAAAGTATCATGGGAACTCAGATCTTCTAATAAACTGCTGAACTTGCGGTGTAACCTGCAGAACCATGATAGACTGACCTTTGTTGCTGGGTCCCGACTGCCCAAGCTGAATGGGATTCTGGAAGAGTCACAAACTCCCTCTATCATATCCTAGTCTTATACATGCTGCAGGAAACTCAGATCAACCAACTTCTGAACAAAGCACACATTCTGAACTTGAATTTGTTGCTTGCACACCCTAGGTAGACCCACTGTTGTTGGTGGGTGCCCAAGCCCGTGGGGATTCTGGCAAAGGCAAACGGTCCCCCTTTCATATCTGTTCTATACTCACTGCAGTGATGATAAGAAGATCAGTCAATATTCTACCAATAATTCATTGTATTCAGCAGCCCATAAGCATCCATAGCTCAATAATCCTACATCAAGATGCCGATTAACCTTTCAGAGCTTCTGGATGGAACACCACGAACTTGTTTGATCACTAAAAATTTTGGGAGACTAGAGGAGCACATCAAGTTCAAGATTGCGTATGATATTCAGAAAGAGTTACACTCTGTCAAAGGTCTGATCATACTATGGATTCAATCTCAGCCTCATTCAATTTCTATGCTCATTTTTGATGGTGTGGTCATGTTTTCCTTTTGGTAGTGAATTTATTGAAAAAAGCTAATGAAGACCAAGAGTCTGTTGATAGATCTATGGAGGAATTACGGTTGGGGACATCACTTATTAACTCAAAGGTGCAAGTTGAATTGCAAGCCAATGAAGGTCAGTTGACATTGTTGGTGTTTAATGAACTTTGAATCTTCAATATCTTGCACTGACCAATGGAATTTGGGAATTTCAAGGAAACTGGCAAGCACTTGCAAAAACATTGGGGATGATTCAGAGTGAACAGGCCAGCTTGAAGAAGAATATTGAAGATCTGCAGGGAAAAAACAAAAGAATTGAGTCTTCTATACATGAATATGATCAAAACCAGAAGAGGCAACTTTCAGAATTGCAAGAGCTTTGTGCTGTTTTTTCCCAGGATAAAAGTAACTTCCACAACTACCAACATAGGGAAGCTTCCAAACTTGAAAAAATTCTAGAGCTGTGCATGGATATGAAGACACGGATTGATGAAAGACTGGGTAGGTTTCCTTATCCAGAAGCTCTCATTACATTTTTCTGGTAGTTTGAATCTTCCTGTGATCTACTTTGTAGGTGACTACTCTGGAATACATGAGCTGTGCTGCTTTTTACTGTGGAGCTTCATGGTTTTATCTGTAGGATTGTCTGCTGATGTTCACAAAAGAACTCCACACCAGGTTTGATACACACCGTTGATTAGTCAGTAGCAGTTAAGATGTTGTTTACATTGAGTTGGAGATCTGTGTACCGACCATCATGAAAAGAGTCCTCTGCAACACTATAATTTCAAACTTGAGATGTTTGATGTTGTGGTATTTGTTGGATTGGGACTAACAAGGTGAATTACTATACAACTTATTTGAAGCACATTGTGTTGAAAGGAAGGCTTTCAAAGTCTTTGGACTAACGAGTAACTAGGAGAAAAGAACCTTTGTAGTTACAAAAGCTGAATCCAAGCACTCTGGGATGCTCTGAAACAACTCATTGTGGGTAGACTGCGGTTTCAAGACTATCAGCAAACCAGATACTGCAAGGCTTGCGATATGGAGTGAGGGAAGACGGAAAAAGGTGCGGAACACCTTTTTTGTGGACAAAACAGAGTTGTATGCAGTATGCTTGTAAGGCTGGCACACATTTCATTTCTTTGGTCCAGAGGTGTTTTATTTGGTGGGTAACGGTGCACAGGGACTCCTATCAAGTATCTGCATCATCAGAGCAAAGGGGATGTAGTGCTGCCAATACCTACACTTTGATGAGGGAAGAGTGTCTCAAAAATGTGGGTAAAATTTACAATCCAGCCTCCAACACCTATATCTCTGCTGATTACACAACAGGGTCTGATCAAATCGTCGATTCCTTTTGGGCCTGAAGCTCAATGCTGTGACACAGCCCAACAAATTTTTGTCCTCCGCGGGGCTTCACAGAGTGGGCCAAACACTATTGTGATGACTCTGAGCTGGGAGAAGGGGTTAATCCTTTGATGTGGTAACCAAACCAAAGATAAGCGCTAGTAAATCAGTGGTCATTGATCTGTGTGATGACACTCAACCTCACTCAACCAATCAACTCCTTTTCTCTTGTTTTGAAAACCTAATTCTACTCAATGATGACATGATGATGAGCACATATTGTATTCCCCCATTCAACTCAATCAAACTAGCAGTAGTTCAGCTCAGCAAGTTGATATAAAACCTGTGAAGATTGAGTGTGAAGCCACTTTATTACAGATGTTGATACAAAAAACAATCAATGAATACAAGTTACGGCTAAGACAGAAGTTGAGGAGATTGATCAGAAGCCAGTGAAGGTGGAGATGGTATCTATATGATCCAACTTTTGTGAGTCTTACAACTTTGGAACCAGTGATGCGAAGTCTGATATGGATGTCTTCCTGATTCATTCAACAAGAAAATCACGCTCAATCTGACAAATCTTCACAAAAATCTTGCCTCACATTACCAAAATTTTACCAGCAAACCTTGATCAAGCTTTCTGGAATCAAACCTATCATGGGTATGTCAAAATAAACCTAAGTCAAACAATTCAAACATAATGAGTTGACAAATTATGATTATTATATGTTTTTTGACACGGAAAAATCAATGGAAAACAAGTCAAAATACAAACTAACCCAGCAGAAAAAGATGGACAAGTTGGGTTGGTATTGCAAAAGTATCCTAAAGACCCTACCTGAGGTGGATCCTGCTGCAATGAATATTGAAGCTGAGAAGAATCTTGAAGAGAACTATCAAGTGTGGAAACAGTATCTCTTGGAAAGATATGCGGATGAGCGTCAATCATTGGAAAATGGCGGTTATGGTTTATGACCAAGAGTGTTGAACCAAGGTTGTAATTAACTGAATCCCATTTCATTTTTTTCATTCCAGCCGGAACAAATCCTGTCACAGAATTCTGAATGTAATTTTTGATGTATGAATCCCTTGGCTTCTGGTTCTTTTTGGGAATGATTATTTATAGATTACTTTGTTGTTTATAGAGTAAAACATCATAGATAGAACAACCATGCCGCAATGTTGAGATAAGAATTCAAAGAAATCCTATTTCCAATTGAAAGATGAGATCTGTTTCCCGGATTGACCAAACCAATATATCCCTTCCTTTTGACATTTTTCTTTTTTTGGGCACAGTCAAACTTTTTGATTGTTTTGAAATTGTACCATCAATTGTCAGCAAGGATAACTCTGAATAATTGCAAAATCTGAAATTTTCATGTGGAAGCACGCACCACTTTACACACAGTTTGTTGAAGTGACTCAGTTCAGAAATTTGCATGGTTCTGAAACATGCATCTTGACTACAAAGGCGCGTGTAACATAGAAGAACTGAAGTTAAACCAAATTGCATGACCCATCAAAAACCTCAAGTTCAACTGAAAAACACAATGAAAAAGCTCAAGATGCTATGTAAAAACTTAGATGAGGCTGTGTGTTGCTTGCTGTGTTGAATTAGAATGTCGGTTTTGAACCTCATGACCTCTGATGACTGCTCAGGGCCAACCAGAGCCAATAGGTCAATGTATTCTAAGTATTCTTGGGCTATCGTTGCATGTACCGAGTGTGTTGCTACGTAATATTATAAATACTCCAAGAGGCTTAAAAACCGTGGTCACTTGGTCAAACAGTTTGGCGCTCAGATGTGAAATTGCGTTGGAGCTCCTGGTTCAACCCTCAGTGGCCACCCTTTTGTTTTGCAAAATATTGTGAATGGTCCCTGAACATGCAATTAGAATGTGCCAGGGATGATTTGCCTATTGTTTCCAAATCAGATGAAACCACAACTGGTGGCAATTTGGCTATTGTATTACCTATTTTCTCCTATTATTAGGCCTGGTTCTTAATGATGTTGCACTAGGTAAAGGTGCTAAGAATGAAGCCGGTCAATCTCGGCTTATAGGTTATCCTATTTCCGGGCTTTGTTTGGTTCCTCCCCATTTTGCAATCACAGCTCTTGCCATTTCATCAAATGTTCCTGATACTTTTCACCTTTCGTATTCTAAATCTGAAATCTCTGAACACATTGATCAGCAGGAGATTCACTCAATGATTCTTTGCGCAAGTTTGAGTTGAAGTATCAACATCATAAATGGAACTCGTCGGTCATCCATTGGGAACTGCATCCGTTGGCCGACATCAAAAAAAGACCGTGCTTGAGTCATACAGGCCTCAGGGAAATCCTGAAGCCTATTTTGTGTGCAGCGCGATGAAATTAAAGCTAACTCCAAACAAGTGATCCGGGATAATTTAATATCCATTTGATGGTACCATATCTTACAAAACCAGGACAATTTTTATCTAAAGTTACAGCAATCTCTCAGCTTTGCGCAAGGTTGTAGCATGTAGCAAGAATGTTGGAAAGTTTCTCCACCACAATGGCAGTTTGGTCAACATTGCTAGAAAGGTTTGAGCCTTCAGAGTTTTGACCACCAGCTGAAGGCCATTGATGCGACTTTAAAATTGCATTCACCTCACGTTTGATGTACTACGTCACGCATAACAAAAATCAAAAATGAGTACATGCAGCTGGTTGTGGTGTGGTGCCAATGTGATAGCAACTGGCCACGCATACATTACGCAGTGTTTCCATTTGGACTTCACTTAACTCGTGTTGATTTTTGGTGTCAGATGAGGAGATTGAATTCTGTATCTTCTGTATTTGCATTTTTGCCTAGCATTCAAAAATCAGTGTAAGTGAGAAGAGTTCAAAAAGAACTTTTGTCCCAAAGCAAAAAAATCCATCTTTTGGATTTCATTCTCATTTTTCTCCACCATCTCCGCAGTTGATAACAGATCTTGCTGTATTGATTTCAGCTGAAGGACAAATAATGAATACTGTGGATCTTTGGCAGTGTATGTAGGGGCAACAATAAAGAAAAGTCACATTACATTTTGCCCTAGTCTGTCTACAGCTTGTTGGTAATGTGATAGAAAACTCGACCTCACTTCTTCTTCAAACCGTTTAATAGTATTCTCCGCAGTGGATTCTACATTGACTTGATGCTGATCAACTTTTTTTGGACTTTATCTACTTGCGCCTGAAACTGGTTAAAGTAGGGTTCCATTAGAAATGGGATGAATTAGGATTGTATGATCAAAGTGTTTTTCTATCATGGATAAAACTTACTTTCAGATAGTTTTCATTGCAATGACTCTCCAGTGTTCTAAATTCAGAATTGCAATGGCTTTCAAGCTGGAGTTTGATTTCCTGGGCCAACTAACTTGAGAATAAAACAATGATGCTGAGTACGCATTGAATGGCCCATCAGGTGAGGTAACATACAATGGAAATACCTCGTCATGCCACTTTTTTTCCAGTTGATGATTTTCAGTCACTGTAGTGCGGATTTTGACCATCTGAGCTACAAGGTCTTTGGTGCAGTGTTCTTGGTACTTTTTGGTGTTGATGTGGGTATATTCTTCACTGGTTTTCTCAATCTAAAATAATATGGATGGGCTCAGATGCATTAAATTTTGGTCAGTACCTGTTCATCTGAGACAAGCTGGGTTTACAAACCTTCAAGCAAGTAAGTCTCACATTTTCACAGATTTCATTCTCAGATTTTTGAAGTGCATTCTCCAAATTGCCATTCTCCTTCAGATTCTGGACGACTGCCCGTACTATCTTTGGGAATTCAAGCTTCAGTTGTGAGGAAACCACTAATTGAGCAGATTCATGTAATTCATGCATCTACAAAATAATCAAGTTTAATCAAGCATCACAAATACTATTGTGCCAAACCTGACCTTGCTTTGAATCATCTCAATTGTCTTTGCCATGTCAGCACGTATGACTGACTGAGACCAAGCATGAGCTGAAAGTTGTGATTGTGTGCTATCTTCACCACTTTGAGTGAACACGGCTGTGTTCATGGTACAATTGGAAGCCAGCTAGTAGGGCAAAGGGGTATTGTAAGTCTTGGGTCCACAAGGTATTCAGGGACTCACTCCGAGCGAGTCCAGAGTGCCTTGGAGGATATCCACTGTGGCATGCTCTTGGGAAAGTCATGTGCCTATTTGCAATAAAGCAAGGGCACATCGTCTCTTTCATGATTGAATAGGATCATCAGCCATACAACTTATCAAGTAACCATGAAGCATTGGAGAACGACTTGCTTTGAGATCAAGATAGTTTTGCAGCTAAATAAACCAGCTTCAATTTAGTGTTTCCACCACCTTGGCCTTCATTGCAACCTAGTGAGATGACTCACAAGCTCCTGACTGACTAGCTCTAAATTTGTCTGTATGAGACTGGTTGACTGAGTTCCCTCGGGTGTAGGTAAACTAGGTGCGATTGAGTTCCCTCTTGTTGCCCACCTGAATGCAGGTTGTTTCTTGGCTGGCATGGTGGGAGGACTGATTGAAGGGTTGTTCTTTGATGGCAGACAGTCCGAGAAGGATGGAGAGAAATCTGAAGTCGGTTGGAGAGATCTGTATTGAAGGATATTTTTTTGGGTGTAAACTACATACAGCTCAATACTTAAGGCTGCATGATTGACGGACGTGTAAAAGGATGTTTACACACCCCTCCAAGTACCAGTATTCAAAGTTTGTGAAACTCTGTCCGCCCCTTTTGTTTGATTTTGTGAAGATATTTAACTTATGGTCATAAAATGACAGCCATTGTACCTTTGACTTTGGATATCCCATGGGTACTGGCTTGAAAATAACATGACACAAACACAAGTGGGTTCAAAAATGCTGTGACATGGCCTCATAGGGAAGGTCAAAAAATAAATGATTTGTTTGTGAATTTCAACAGTGCTTCAATCTTTGAATGTAGACTTTGATCCAATGTGACCCACCAGAAAAAAAAACTAGACATCCTCACAATGTGTCATGTTGATTGATTGATTGAAGGAAAGTTGAGAGAGTTGATAGCAAGTTTGATTTTAAAACTAGAAACAAAGTTGTGTGTTGCATCAGGTTATATTTATCATATGTATCACATTAATCAATGCAGTACAGTGTACACATACCTAGTATAATGTCCTATAATTAATGTCATATGACTGTACTCCATAATAGTTGACTAGTATATATGCAGCCTGTATGTCTCAGTGTAAGTTTGGCAAGAAGATATACTTGTATATGTGCCACAAAGATATGTAGTATGAATCAGGGGGTGTAGGTCCTTGGATCAATAGGGATACAATCTTCAAGCCTACCCAAGTGTGTGCAATCTGTTCTCATTAATCCAGATAGTTAAACCACAAGATTCACTGAATCTGACCCACAGGTGTTGAAGGAAGGTCAAGATTTTGACTTCTGCTTACTTGCAGCAGGGGCACACATGAGAAAGCCAGACTGAAGCTCATCTCTTCCAATTTTTATGCATATGAGGATCAAGCAAATCTCGGTATTAATATTACCATAAACAAAAAAGAATACTGTTGCACTCCTTTGCACAAAATTGAGTTGCAGATTGGACTGGAACATTGTTTTTCTCTCCAGTTTCTCTTGGTGCTTCATAAAAATCATGTTTCCCTTATTAAGATATGCACCATAATCTGATTCTTGTCTGGTTCCTGTCCCTGTACAATGAATTCAGACATGAAAAACACTATCAAAATGACCACAAGACGGTCCTGAGTATATATTTAGGGTATCATCAAGACACTAAGATATTAGAATAGTCCTTTGAAGATTATGAATCACTTTTTTTGACCATTGCCTATCCAATCATCAAAAAGGATCATTTGGGTATTACATATTTTTTTGGAAGGATCCAAGGTGTTGATCAGAAATTCTCAAACTCCCATGAAATGGCTTGAAGATTTATACCCTTATATAATGAAGCAAAGTGAGTCAAGAGGGAAAATTGATGCCCCCCACCATGTGTCAAGCCCCGACTCTACTCCAAACCACATCCAGCCATCCCAGGTGACCCACACCATCTCATTAGATGCCTCCCACTTCAGTATTCAAAACAACATCTGCCCTTGAATAAATGGATTCTTACAAGGGGTCATCTATCAGACACCAATTAAATCAGACCCCATTCCACTTTAATAATCAGGCATATCTTTTTATTATTGATCTTCCTTGAAAATGACATCATTGCAATTTTATGGCTTATTGGAAGCCTGCATTTTCTAATTGTTTTAGTTTGATCACCAGTTTGATTTCTTGACCACCATTCTCCTTCTGACATTAATGTTCTCATCTTTCTGGCACTGTTGTTCTCTTTAATTGGAAGTACATGGATCTTAAATCTTAACCTGTTGGGGGCTAGGCTCCTATGATGCAGTAGATAAATAAGATTAAGGTTGAAACATGGATAAGTAAAGTAACAGATGAATTGCAAAAGGAAATGCTTTTAATAAAAGAACACGTCCCAAGTGGTTTCATAGTCTTGCTTGTCAACAGAGGAATTTACGGAAGGGATTTCAGAATCAAATTTTGGATAGGACATATCATTTATTGGTCTGAACGTGCCATCACCGTTTTCTACTGCACCTAAGGGGCTGGTCCTAAAAAATCCTAATCTAGCATAACACTACAGAAAAAAATTGATTTTCCCCGGGGATTTTTGATTTCAAATGAGGGGAAAATCACGTGACCTGCGTACAGCGTGTACATTGATTGCGTCAGGTGGTCCTTGTACTGAACACCGGATCCTGTACGCTTTCGGTCAGCCGGACCACGGCAGCAGAGTCTGTACACCGACCAAAACAGGCTGAGCCTGCTGAGCCATTAAACATTTCCGACAACTCGAAGCAAGATTTTTGGCTGAAACCATCGCCAACGGCCGCTTTCATCAATTGCGTCATCTTCTCTCTCTCAATCATCTGTCGATCGCAATTTGTGTGTCACCCTTTTGCCAGCACTGGTGACGGCAAGCAACGGCAGCATCCCTACACGACGGAGTCCTATGTACATCGCCCCTCGTTCGACGAACCACTTCAGCGTCTGTACACCGTCCAAAAACGGCGATGCCATCGCCGGGCATTTCATCGATTCAGAACGGCGACTGCTGAAACGCAGGGCCACCCTCATTGTCTTACAGCTTTTTCGATTTGCTGACGAACTTCTCGCTTCTGCGGTCCTCTTACTTCCAGGCTGAACACACCCGCAACCATCAGCTAATTTGCTTGTTGAAGAACACGTCAGATGAGGCTGTTCAAGTCTTGGAAAAGTATGAACTGAAGGATGGAAAAACTGATTGATAATTGACTTGCCAATCATCCCTTTTGTCTTTGTTTAACTCAAGTCGCACTTTTTCGTTAAAGTTTTACTCATACCATCTTTCTTGAAGTTGAAACAAAGCTATAATCTAGAGGCCGGTATTTGGACGTAAGCTATTGTCTTGTTGGTGCGCGTCGAGTGAATCAAGCAGAGGAGCCGAACTAGGGGGATCATGAGCTTGGACGCCGACAAAAGCTCGGGACCATTGAGCCACGCCACACATAACTCATTCCGAGAAGAAACATCCATTTTATGTACTGCGAAAGACTGAAGCTTCCATGAGTGATCAATGGATCTTGACTTATGTTGACCACTTGTCACATCTTTGTGAACCAATATTTTGTACCTCTTTGCTCGAAATTTGTTTGAAAATAGTGAGGATGAAAGCAATAGTATTAAGAACAATTTCAATGAATCAAATCCAGATTTTTTGGTAACACAATCTCAGAGTTACAGATTATACAAAAGAGAGGTATGACTATGAACCAAAACCTCAAGCAGCGCTTACGTTGGTTCATGACACATACATGAAGGATATGCATATACATGACACGTTAAAGAGCTTCCATTGAAAAACGTAAACATTCATGGTTCCTTTCCTTTCCGATCTTTCTGTTTACTCAAGGCTCTTAAAGCTTCTAGGAAATCTTTCCATCCATCTCTTTCAGCAATTGAAGATCCATCATCAGACTTAGCTTCATGATAATCTGCAAGATAACTTATTGCATTCAACTTTCCAAGACCTACTGAACTTCCTGGAACATTACTGTGTGGTGGTTCATAGAGAAGTCGGGCAGAGATACAAGCTCCTTGTAAATGAGAGATCGAAGTATGTAGACCTAGTTGGATGTTCTGTATGATTCAAAAGCTTCATATGGTTATTATTTCTGCAGTTTGAACAAAATCGGAGAATGAGTAATGATCGGTAATTTCAAAAAGATGATCCGTTGACTCGACTTACGTTGAGTGTGGTGAAGTATTCTTGGATCGATCCGGAAAAAGTTTGAAAAAGATGATTGGTTGACTCAATCTACATTCAGTGTGGTAAAGTATTCTTGGAGTGATTCGGAAAAAGTTTGAAAAAGATGATAGGTTGACTTGACTTACATTGAGTGTGGTAAAGTATTCTTGGATCGATTCGGAATCTTCAAGTTTAGCTGAAGGTGAAGGAGGTGATAAATATTCTAATGCCTTTGAAGCCATGCCAAGTGATGCAGTGATTTTCTAAAAAAGGATATATATATATATATAATGATAAATATGACATAGACAGACAAAAATGAGTGGTGTATTTTGAATAGAAAGCTTTTCTATTGTAATTTGGCATTGGCTTGGCGACTCGCGTGATAGATCATTTACATCATGCGTCTGTGTCATCTTCCTCGTACTGATTGTTCAAATCTTTGCATGATGACATCTCTGTACACAATGAAGGCAAATAAGTAAAAACCCACATTCTGTGTTGACAATAGATGAGAATAGCAAGAATTGCATACATGAAAATGTTTGACTCATCTTGGAAGTATATTCAACAACACATTCCTCTCTCAATCAATTGATAATTTCAGCATGAGCATCAGCTGTTGCAGATTGGGAATTGTTGAGTCGATCAAATGTTCAGCAACACCGGCCTTGTTTTTGGATGGTGTACAGATGATGCATTCCATGGTTTGTTGAACGGAGGATGGACCGTGTCGGAGCGGTGAAGCATTTCACAAGATCACTGGAAGGGAAATACTAGTTAATAACGGGGTTTGCAAGCTAAATGATGATGTGCAAAAACTTACTATACTGCTTTAATCTGCTTTAATTGATCTTCCAAACGGCCTGTCCAATTTAATGTATAGATTACTTTGCTCATTTTTGTGAGGCACAAAGATGACAAAGATAACAGTGTTCCTCAAAGCTGTAGTTGACTTGGAATCGTTGGGTTGAATGGTGGAGGACTCGTGGGATGCTGTGCGATATGACGGTTTTGCGGGTTTGATTCAAAGAAATACCAAAACGTTGGATGCTTGTAATCCAAACCTGGCAATATCATACGGCTGTGTCTAGCCTGGAAGTAAGAGTCCTGTGGAAGTGAAAAGTTTGTCAACAAATCGAGCAAGGAGTAAAACGATGAGGGATGGCTAGACGTTTCAGCAGTTGCCGTTTCGAATCGACGGAATGCCCAGCGATGCCCTTGCCGTTTTTGGACGGCCTATGTACACACAGACACTGAGGCTCACTGGGGTTGTTGGTCGAACGACGGTTGATGTACAGACTCCGTCTGTGGTCGGTGTACAGATGCTGCCGTCATGGAGGGTTCGAAGGAGGGGTTGTGTACTTCCTGTACAGGAGTCATGTGATTTTCCCCTGTTTCAAAATCAAAATTCCCCGGGGGAAATCAGTTTATTTTTGTAGTGTAAACATCTTCTTTGGAATAAGGACCGTACATTCTACCGAGCTTTACTTCTTTCTTTATGTTTTCTTCAATTTTTCCCTTTTGTGTTTTCTGCTGATGAGTGATTTGGCGGGCAAAACCACTTTGCTCCTTTCAATCCGTGCTTTGGGACACCTTGATGAAAACCCTCTAAAAACCCATCTAAAAGGTATTGATATTTGTCAATTAAACCAAATATTTTCAATTGTCTTTCCCACTCTAAGGCATTCATCTCACACTTGACGATTGTTGGCCAAGTTATGTCACTTCCCTCTTCAAAAACTTTGAAAGTCTCTTCCGTATTGGATCTTTTCCTTTTAATACTCATTCTAAACAATTTTCATTACAACCAAACGAATCAGAATTTCATAACATATTTATATACACATTGGAAAGAAAATGCAACACTCTCTATAAATTTTCAAAGGAAAGGAAAACATTTTAAAAGCTACCCCCGCTTACGTCTCTGTCTCCTTTGAAGTTGACTGTTTTGGCTCAAAACCAAACTTCTTCTTCCCAGGTACATAATTTTCAACGCCGTTCAGAAATTAATACACCAAATCATTAGCATCTTTATCTCTTTATAAAAGTTATGCAACTTACTAATTACTCCCTTTGTAATTAGGATTAGGATTTGGATTAGCTTTCCCTTTTCCTTTATCAGGTCTCTGGTAAGGTGAAGTCGACCTATCCATTCTGAATCCTTTC